AGACCAAGAGACCTGAAATAAGTAAATATACTACTATTTGCATAGGCACCGCGAACCTTTATAGCAACGATAACTGAGAAAAGCTAACCATACTTACAGCAATGTTACTGAACGGATATCAGAAGTGATCAGATATTGATCATGAGCAACTATCAGCTTATAGAAATCAATACATTATCTATTTTATAAATAATGCGTATATGCATTGTTAAACAGAACGAAATAATATCAGGGTGATTTTGAAGACAACTTAGGTCAATGGATACATAGTATATTTGTTCACTGTCAGATTAATATAAGAAAATATACTAGTAATTATTATTGACGTAAACATATAATATTACACGGTTCACTATATCCACGTCGCGACAGAGAGGAAATGGTACTGACTAAAGCAATACTTCTGTTTAATCATCATAGTTTCAAATGTTTACACTTTGTCGAGGAAGACTCGAACCGCCCTCGTCTCGCTCTCACCTAGGTTCTGCCATCCTTACACAAACTGCTAGCTCGAATGTCTCAAACAATGCAATAGGTCCTGAAGTTTACAGGACTGTAAACAGGCCTGTAAACAATCTCCTTACAGCGGAGCATTCTGTGCCGGGAGAGAAACGAGGGTATTGAGAGCTGGGATGGGGTTTGAACTATATCCTACAAGTTGCCGTGGGAATATCCCATAGGTCAATAGAACACTTTTATGAGCGCCTCGTACTTCTGTCACTCACAATTATCAGAAACAAAAGAATAGATGTTTTTAATGTGAACAGCAAATTGCCGCAAAAGATCACTATGCATATCAAGCATAACTCACATGTGTATTGTCATTGGATCCATCATCATCACAGTGGGGTGTCATAAACGATGCAGGAACTGGCGCCCTGGAAATAACTGTAATTCCACGGGGTATTCAGTTCGGTTTAATTCGTAAGTGTTTGCCATTGGCCCATGGTTACATTTGTATTACAATGGGCGTGATGTACACAGATGTTATTGTTCTGACAATAATGCACTTCGAAGTGACATCGCTTGATAGATAAAGATAGCCAGCCATTTAATTAATTTACAATCAGTGGTAGCCATAATCATATACATTTTTTGTTTAGCTGAAAAATTGCAACAGTTCTTTGGTAAGTGATCCACCCATATCTTGTTATAACCTGGGCTGACCAGCAGAAAATGATACTCGTCCTCCACATACCCAGCGTTACAATCACAACATTATCTTCTGTCACGTGGGATATTAGCATATCTCCAAGTTTCAACATATAGCTGATGCGAAAAACATCTAAACCGAGTAAGCGCCACTCTGAATGTATTGACATACAGAGCGTAGAGATACCTTGAATAGAGAATAAGATAAAGATTTACTAACCTTTTCCAGAAGTCTATGCCAAGCCTGTTCATAACTAAATTTCAGATGCACATAAATTCTGACAAAAATGATTGAGGATGACATATACACTGTATTCCCACACAAAGCCAAAACCCAAACTGCACAATAAAGATTTACATTTTTTGACCCAATTATTTTTTCTCAAACTTTCTGCCTGGAGAATCATACAAAAAACTTCTTTCGATAGCGACAATCGGACATACTCAATAACTTTATCCAATCACCAATAACTCTTTTTTTATGCATAAAAATATGAAGGATAACTCCCACATTCCCCTCAAAGCATGTTGTTGGGTGTTGACGATTTGACACCGAGAAAGCGCTTGCAAGCCAATGAATGTATGGTTTCTAATTCCTCGTCGTGGCGTTGACCCAGACCATAGAGCAAAATTGGAACTGTTTTCATATCGAATATATAGAGGATGTAATTTTGTCAATGACTTTCAAATTCCCCAAATTGCCTTTTTCCCTTGTAAACCAGCATTAGAGAACTGACTTGACCAGGACAGGCTTCTCGTCAAAGAAACGCCCAAATACTTGAAGGAAGATGCACATTCCAACTTTAGATCTTAATAAAACCAAATATCTTTTCTTGACAACACTCCTTAAAAACAACCACCTTAGTTTTATCCAAATGACGTCTGAATCATAATCGTTACAATACTTATACAACATCAACACACTTCTGAAGTCCAGCTATGGTATCTGAGTTTGGAATAGTATCGTCTGCAAACAATATATTTAATAGCACGGGACAAAAATATCACGAGCATATTTTAAAAATTCTGAAGTGAGAGGTCATTTCCTGCGGATTAACCACATTTCAAAGAGTTCATAGCACCTACAGTGAATAACTGTAAACAGGCATGTAAACAAGCTCGGCCCAGCACTCTATACCGGGTGGGAAACGAAGTTTTGAACTCTACTCTACAAAAGTGCCGTGGCAATATCACCATAGGTGAACAGCAACTTTACTGCAAAACGCCATGATTCAGATCAAACAGATCTCACTTGTGTAGTGGATTGTGTAATGGATTCTTTATCATCAAAGGGGAATGCCTGAAACAAAAGAGGTTTGTGAGGAAGTGAACTTCTGGAAACAAATATCATTCCACGAGGTAACAACATGGCATTCTAGGTAGACACGACATTTGTAATCATGGTTACGTAGCAACAATAAATACACCAGGGTCCACTTGTACAGAGCAATCTTAGTGCTACCATTATTGTAAATCATGCAGGTTACAATCTTAGGCTTCGGCTACCATCGTCATACACTTGCACAAAGCGATTATAGGCTAAGATCATTGTAAGCAACAATCGAAATCTACAATTGATCCGGACCAATCTGAAGTAGATAAGACGGCTGTAGTCCCTGAATAAACTTGACAAAATGGCGTGCAAAACAGGGGCTTGTTTTTACGTAAATAATCTGCTTTACGTTCAAACATTGCCTCTTTATTTTGTAAAAATCTATGATTCAAATCGACACTTTAACAACATGAATAATACACCACATATTTAACGTTAGAAATACCGTTAACTGCGACCACATAACTATTGAGTTCATAGCTATAAGAATTTTCCCACCCGACTCAATGCTGAAAGAAGTGTGAAACAATATACTATTTCGCTAATCCAGGGAAGGATGAAAACCTAAGTTGTCTGCAAGCGAGTAGTAACATCCGTTAACTTTTGGATAACTCAAGGGCAGCTAATCTAAGTTTATACTCTAGATGGTAGTGGTTTCCCTTAGTGGTTTCCCTTTGTATATAGCCCAGAGAGTTGATTCTACCAGTGTATTAACGTTGTAGAATCGCTGAGCTCCCCCTGTATTTCTTTTGGCCCACATTCATGTCAGTTATTTTGGCAATAGTTAATCATTATATTAATCTACAAATAAAGTTGAATTGCAAAATTATTTCCGTAATCTATAAAATTGATAAATCTCTTTTGACATTACTGATCGGCTTCTTTATGTGTTTTTTGAAACTTCACTCCATTGAGTTGGATGGGTTTTTTTGCTCTCTATGATGGGGATGACACGAGATGATAGAGTACCTCCTATAATAAGGATTAGAATACTTTCACACACCTTTTTACACCTTAAATTTTCAAATATTGTTCAAATTAAACATGGAAAACAAACAAACACGCTGAAAGTAAATTTGAACTCACTCTAAAGTTGTGTCATAGCCTGTCTCAACAGGAGAAAAAACAATGAAATCTTCCTTTGAAGTAAGTTCTGCATTGCTCACATCCCAGATATAAATTCCAGTGCCTGCGTTCCATTATTACAATTTGGTTACCGAGGTTACCATATTTCTGTCCACCAGTGTTATCAAACAAAACGAATAAATTTCAACCTTAGACATAATAGAAAAAGCCGTCACGAGAAGGACATGTGTAATGCAATAATACATAACCATGAGAAGTTTTTATTGCTTGACAGATCTACTATGGGATTAATTATCCGTTTACTAGTCAGTACCTGGTATGACCACCATTAGCAGGGACAAAGATGGTTAAGGAAGGCTTGTCAGATGTATTCAAGATCTGGACCAATAAATTATTATCTTGCCGACGTGACGTTACTCTTGGAGGTACATTGGTCATGGTGTTGCCAGTCTGTTAATTTTGACTCCAGAGGGACTGTATGGTGTTATGGTGAACCCCAAAAGGCCTAGCAAGGTTTTTAACAATTCCAGCTTCAAGTCTTCTAATTGCACCGTTAGTGCAAATGCATTTCACATTTTAAACACTTCAACGTCTTTTAAATGATTCAGCCCCAAGTGTACTGTGAATGTGTGACGAATTTTGTACTCATGGGATTTTATGCATGCAATTAATGACCGGGATACATGTGCAATTTCAGGGGCATTATGGTTCATCATGACAATGTGTGCATGTGATTACCATGCTTGATTCTGAGAAAACATCAATTTCATTTTAAAGTGATTTGTTATGGTTCAGAGGAATGATCGTCTACTAGTATGTAAACATGAAGTATATATACTCACGTTTATGACATTTTTTTACAGTTTCCCATCATGCCAATAGATATCGTAATTGAAGAAGCACATTTTTACGCCTATAAAATCATTTCCTTTTCCAATATCTCTACAAAACCGAACATCATTGTCTCGATAGCGCTCTTTTTGCAATTGCTATATATTAGACTCACCTTTTATTATGTTTAAATGGTTTTCGTAGTTGAAACTCTTCTTCTATCACCCTTTTCCTCCTACTGCGGACATACATCAAAACATAAAATGTTATGCAATCGATAGAACCTTTAAATCGTTGGAGGTTTCGAACAAAGCTATAATGTGATCTCTATGCGGCTAAAGTAATGGCGATGAGACGTTGAACTCACTCACTAATTGCATTTAAAAAACATGTCAAGCTATGTCCTATGCTAGTTCTGTACAGACTATCTTGGTAAGGACTCCTCCTTATCAGTCACCAACACAGTCTCACTGCCATTATGATCGAAATACCAAACACACATAGGTGACACAAATTGAGATATTGTTGCAGCTATTTGTCCTTTCCAGTACATTATCGAATCGCAGCTGTGAAGACAGCCACACTGATGCCAAAACAAACATTGTTCACCACACTGTCTGCATGGTCGACTCGCCTGATTAAATTGTATGCATTCACCACGTTTTCAATTCAATCTCTTTGCACTCAAAACCATGTCCCGAACTTTGGTAGATAAGGTTGAGTGAACAAGTCCACTTACATGATCTTCTTGTGTATGCGCCACCACAGACACAGTATCACAACGATTGCAATGACCAGCAGCAGAACCACAGGAACAAACACAGTCAGCGGTATATCTGGAACAAAAGTTTCACTGAAAATTGTTTCATTTTATTTAGATATTCCTCTCCCTGTCCTCCCCACTCTCCCTCACTTACCGGTGCCGGTGCCGGTGGTATTTTGTTACAGGAAGATGTCATGAAACCAACCTTTTGGTTACTTGTCAAAGAAATTTTAAAAAGCACCAGCAGCATTACTCTAGAGTTGAGAAAGAAACCTATACTTTCATCTTGGCATTGCAACAATTTTAGGTGAATTTTGGAACTATAATGAATCCTATTGAAGCGTTCACTGATCACAAATCTGCTGATTCTTCTTGAAATCATGCATCAAGGTCATTTGATCGGATCAGTACACACATGCAGTTGTGCTATTTATACAGGTAGCAAGTATTTTATGCTCTTTAGAAAAGTGATACAAGTAGACATTCTCCTTCAAAGTGTCAATGTCAACCTTTAGCCCGATGAATTGTTTTTACGCTGCCTGCTGGATAAGTTTTATGCAATAGGCGCTGTAAAGAGGGTGGGTGGTGTTAAACGGTCGGTGCTTCATTAAACAAGGGACATTTGAACCACTATTTTGCACATTAATACCTGATAGAAAATTACACATTGTCATATAAAAATATCCTGACATACAGGGGTTAAGACAAAAGCAAACGTAAAAATTGTAAATGTTCTAACTAACCTGAACTACGTTATTGAAAGTGGTTTGCGTTTCATGCTAGGAACCGTTTTACATCGTTATATTTGTGCAAATTGATTTCAATAATCAGATTTCCGACATCTTTATTTTAACTGAGTATAAATTCGATTTTTTCATCTGCAAATAACAGCACGATTGCAAATTGTGAACCATTTCAGTAAATTTATTTTCGAGGTCATCATGTCAGTTGCTGAAATACGAACATTGGGGTTAATCTAACGTGTCAGGTTATAAAAGAAACAATTAATCACTCATAAATATTAACCAATCCTTATTTCAAGTGTTTTGATTGAATATTTACGATATACAGATTACAAATCCCGTGTCGTGATGCTAGCAGACGTACGATAATCGAACACTGCGCGCTTCGCTCGACCTCAGCATAACACATTGCTATTTTAATGTCAATAGAGTTACAATGCCTTCATAAATATGCCTTGGCGAAAGTTGCCGATCTTCTCAATCGAAGAATGTTTCACTTGTCATTTCCCGTTTATTATGAAGAGAGATAGATTATGATAGCAATGTTTCAGTAGTGTTCTGTTGATAATCTTTCCTAACAAAACAATAACAGTAAATTTGGAAATATTTTGCCTGTCACATAGAGAATTAACACAAACTAATACATAGTATCAGAAATCTCCATTAATATGAAATAACAATGTCACTTTGACGATATAACTGGCGGATTATTTTATCCGTTTGACCTTGCATGCACCCATGAGCCGGAAACGGTAAAGGATGACTATATTTAAACTTTTGTTGATATTTAAGGATCAACAGTTGAAGTTACGTTGAATATAAATGGATATGATTCATCTTTCTGGCATGTACACTTTTGTTTTCACTTTAATAATTGTGTTCCACGCAATAATTCTATGGTCATCGTCGATCAGCAATGATCACACTCCATAACAGGTGCGCGAAAATGGGCGTGACAACACATGTTTCAAAATAACATTCATGCGTTGCTGAATATGATATGATATACGCAACTGTGTGATATATATATATATATATATATATATATATATATATATATATATATATATATAAAATAAAATACCACATATATATTTTCAGTGTTAGTTTGACAATAAATTTGGGATAGTTTTCCTTTTATAGATTCTAGCATGATTATTGAACAATTTCACAGAGCATTTTTAAATTTATTCCAAAAATATGATGACCGTAATGATTGCGTATTGATGATAGATCTGTTAATGTTTCATTTTTTACAGCTGTTCATATTTTTAGTTATTTGTTTTACCACAATGATCATGTGTATGGACACTATACATTGGCCAATGCATCAGCACAGTGTAACTGATCAAACTTATTTTATTATTATCTTTAGTTCAAACATAATTTTATTCAACAATTATTATCTTTCACCTGACCATCAATTATGGGAATAGGAAACTATTTGATGTCATTATTTAATGCTGGTAGTCGATGAATAGGGAATAAATAGATAAGATCCTTAACATGTACATACAAAACTAATTTGGACATTAATCTTGTGCATTAAGAGGTAAGTTTCCAAACAAAACAATTCTAAAAACTAACTGTAACATGAATATGATACATTAATTTCTTGAAACAGTACATGACATTTTTGTTTGTTTAATCACATGGACCAGGGAGGCACTTAAGCTAGTGAATTAGCCATATGATTTATAAGAGAATTTCATCTTTTGGGCACATCAACAATTCTTGCAGTTATGTTCTGTTGGAGATAAGTACAAGGAAAATATCACACCTGTATTTTATTCTCGGTTTTCACCAATGAAATATTATGTAATTAGTCTGGCAGGACTTTCCAGGTTTGTTGCAGTATGCTCAGGTGTGTGACAGTGACGATCATGCATATCTCTAAAGGAAATGAACCATTCTGAACTGTGGTCAACAGGTTTTCGTCTATCAGTAAATGTGAAGTACAACAATTCAAAATAAATTCAGATCATCACCAGCCTTGGATCGAACATCCTTGATTATTTCATAGGTTTCTTAACATCCAGTCAGTATAGGTCCATGCCATTTTCCATCTGTCTCAGCCTTCTGGATGGAGTGAAAAGAAATGACCCTGTATACATGATTACCCTTGTCAGATGTATTTTATCCTGTCAGACACACTCCATGTCACCTTATTTGGTATATTTTGCGCATACATGTACTGCTGAAAACCCCTTATCCCTATGCAATCACTAAATTGTCCTTCTTGCAATGACAGACCAATAACAATATTATGTTTTTGTTATTATTGTAACATATCAATATGTTATATCGCTCTTCTCTGGCGTCGTTTTCAGAAAATATTTCTTAAATCGTCGAGCGTGGAATCCAGTACGGTTTCGGAGACAGACTTACAAATTTGATGTTAAGCGTCCGCGGCAATCACGACAAACTATGAAACATAGAAGTGAAGACTGCTACCCAGGTCAATATATAGTAAACAGGTGACGAAAAATAGTAAATTATGTAATTTCGTTTGAATTTGCATCTATTTCGAAATTTTATTGATGATAGCTAACTTTTGCATATTTTGCCTCAGTGTGTGACATGCGGGTACGTGCTTCCGGTTTCAGAAATGACCGATAAAATTGGAAGTATTTTGATTATTTTTCGTAATCTGCATTATTTTACTATTGAATGGTTTACCTAGAATGTATTCCAGTTAAGATTCTGAGTATCATCCAATATTTGTCATTATTCTTAGTGTTTGTTGACTTTGTTCAACTGAGCAAATCGCGAGTTAGGCCACGCCCAAACGTGTCACTACGCTTATCAACAGCGTGTGAAGGTCCAAAAGTTTATCAAACGAAAACTTTTGCAAACTCGATAAAAATGAGATATTTTTACAAGGATTTATACATTCGTGTACACAATTCTAGAAAATCAATTTGGATATATAAAAGGATTGTAATAGTATTACAGGATCACGATGCATGTGGAGTTGTTTGTTTACCTCCGTTGCCATGATCGTACAACTTTCATCCAATCGATGATGGTATGCTTCAGATTGGTTTTGCTTGTAATTAATTGTCCCGAAAGTTGCTAATCTTTAGAAATTAAGGAACTTGATTGTTTTCTTTTCAGTAGATAACACAAAATTATGATCAATGAGAAAAATGAGAAAATTTTACAGAAAATATCGGACTGCATGCAAGTCAACAATGGCCGTTTCTGGTAGTTATGTGCCAAGAAATATGGCTAATACTTTCTTGACTCGAGATGTTTTCTTTTTGAGGTAAATAAACTACTGAAAGTTTTCATATTTTGCAAACTGAGTATTTATGCATACCATACGTAATATAAATGACACTTAAAACCTCACATTAAAAACTTCACATTTTAAAAAGTAATCCTATATATGATCAACAACGGACAAATGTATCAGAGAAGGTAATTTTAAATCATTAATGTCCAAAGAAGGATTATAATTAACGGTGGTAACCATAATTTGTTCCAAGCACCTACGGTATTCGGTAATAACATCAACAGTTTAAATCATGAGTCCCAAGCACGAGAATCTGATGGCACACAAGATCAGTAGCGTGTATGGCCACCAAATGGCCGTAAAGACTTTTGTTTTCTTGTGTTTTTCTTTTTTTGTTAATGACTGCTAACAAGTATGGCTGAAAATACGTGCGGTATTATGGCCACGTGACCAGTTGCACGTGAAAAACACTTTTGCCACTATTGTGCTGTGCACATGATTTTAATCGATTCACCTGCACAAAAACGGGTGTTATCTGAAGACAATACATGGCCATTACACAATAAGGGCCAACAATGATAACTGGTCACAATGTTAGGATTGTGAACTTTTTAATTTGGTTCAGTATAGTTAGTGCGAGTTTTATTGTGAGGTGTCGTTAGCTATTCACCTGTCGAATGTGTTCACGGCTTGTGACACACTCTGTCGAATGGGTTCGACAGTAGCATTGACAGCATTATTAGACAGAATTCACTGTGTTGAAACATTTTCTTCTTGATGGAAAAAGTGCTGTGTGGTAGAAGGGACTAATTTTGTTTGTGGTAATTGTTTGTGGTAATTGTCAGTGGCAGCAAATCCTTGAGTGGTTAGTAAAATGTAAAGTGCTGATCAGCCATTTACACAATTCTCACTAATAAATGTATATCGGTCAAAGAAGTAGCAAGGGGTTTGCTGTATATTTGTTGACAACAAGAAAGCATATTCAACATATAGTAAAAATGCATACATAGTAATTACAACCATCCCTGTGGTCTAGTGGATAGATCATCTAGGAAGGTGGAAGGTTAGCGGTTTGATTCCCGGCCACGCCATTACGAAAGACGTTAAAAGATGGTACTACGTGTTACCCTTACTGGTGCCTTGTATGACTGGGATAAAACTAGGACTGGAATCAGTATACTGTGTCGCAGTGGGGAATCTATGTTAAACTGGCGCATGGTATCTCCGGGGGCTAGCACTACGAAACCAGCATTCATCCGTATTAGTACAAGCAGACACACGCACGCACGAACGCACGCAACCACGCGTGCGTGCGTGCGTGCGTGCATACATGCATGCGACTATGTAAGTGCAATAATCTCGAACTGACGCTAACCGAAATTTCCGATAAACTTGAAATTGTATCAAACGTACCACGTCTAATCAGTGTCTAATGTCAAAACATAGTTACAAAAACAAGCAGATAAAGCATTGTGTCCAGTCAAAAAGTAATATATAAATTATTTTGAAATATACCGGCCAAATCTCTTAAATTTCGGCCAATAAAGTTCAAATTTATGTGGAGATAGAGGCATCTGGTTATCATCACGAACCGTAGAATGTTAGCACAGAGAGTGAACGTTTGCGATGAGTTTCATTCCATTGTACTGTTCGTCTTTTTGGTGAAACATAAAACACATAGAACACTAAAACAAATACGTAACTCTCAGGTTTAAATAGTGAACGTTTTTTTGTTAAGATATATATCTTTCAAAAATATTTTTGTTTCTGAATGACACGATTCCGGGCACTTCAAAATGAACTAATAGTTGACATTATGACAGACGACAGACGTTACACTCAAACTAACGTAGTCTCTGTACAATATTGTAAATAGCGTTGAAAGATTGTGTCTTTAAATTCATTTCCAAACAATAGTAGGACATACACGACGACATTGTAGCAATGCTCACGTCAATATCAACAGTAGATCCAAAGTACATTAAAGGTGATATTGAAGGGGGGTTCTGCAGGTTTTTATATATTTTTAGTCGTCATTGCTTGAGGTGGAGAAATTTACGAATTTAGGCACCTTGTTAATATTTAGAACCAATCCTACTGGGCATTAAGAAATTAATATTTACTTTCATTAAAGTAGAGCCAAACAATGAACTATTATCTAATTATCGTGTTGCCGGCTTGTAATTTGCCTTTGCGAAAAAAAGAAGCCGAACATTGACTCTGCAAACGTCCTGGAATGAACAAATGACTGTTTCTGAGCATGACAAATGCTAATTTGGTATAACAGTTACTAAATCATTGGTTTCTATATATTGATGTCAGGAAAATATCACGTTCTCCGAAGCCGATGCAGGATCTTGCAGAAGCAACTGTCCTCAAACTTTCACAAAATAGAAATAACGTTTCCATATAGTTATTGTTATTTCGAGTATCTCTAATGTTATAGCTTGCAAATATAACTTTGATATGATAGTATAATAGTACGGATAACATGAGGTAGAAAGCGGAAAAGTCTTTAATAATACTTAGTTTTACATAATCGCATTGATCGCAGTTTCAGAAATGCATCTGAATAAACACGAAACTTTAAAAAAGCTAGTATTGAACAAGTTAAGATATTTTTCTAAATTTGTCTGCCATGAGCATTAATGTTGGTATTAGTGAATCACTGTGATGAAGCATACAAATTGAATATAACCTTGTTTCAGCATATTTAATAAATAAATTGTATGATTTTCTTCATAACGCTTTGCTTGAAGAAATGGGTGGTAAATGAACACTTGTAAATCAAACTGTAATAGGATTACCACCTTCTTGTAATTAAAACAATCTTAATAATATATCTCAATCTGTGTGTGCCCATTCGAGCGATTATTCTCTGTGTGTGTGCACGCAAGCACACCCAGAGTCACGTTTACTTGTTTTAAAGTGCATCCTGTATTCAAGTTTGTATTAAAGAATCCAATGGTGTGATGACTGTAGCCCGAACTTTAGCCCTATGGAAGTTTACCACATATTTTGTATATATCCTTGGCTCACATTTGTAATCGGACCATTTGAGGTCCTTTTGAGATTAGATGCACCTATTATTTGTCAAAACATATGATGGTTTGGAGTAAGTAGTTACACACAAAATAATGAGTGTATGGTTAGAGTCCCACTTTGGATGGAAATCATGAAGCTTGTATTACTTTGATTTTAAATCCAGCCTGTTAGATATCCAAGGTATTACTAGATGAAAAAACCCACTGATCATTCAGGTATATTCTGGCATTAGTGGTTTTGTATTGGATTTCGGGGGAACTATCAAACAATAGTTATCATTGTTAATCATACAAAGTATACTGCATCTATTACATCAGGAGTAATCCCACTCGCCTTCCCAATATTCTGCATCAAGACAGACTGTTGTTGGAAGGAAGTGAAGTTTTTCCGTCTCTCTCATGCGCATGAAGCCTGGGAAGCAAGGTATGATTACTTGCACAATATATTAATCAGAGAGAACATCTTTTGAAAATCAAAAGATTCTTAAAGTGCGATAACAGCAGGATGATTATTGACACTGTATTAATTTCATGAATTATTAACAATGATAAATATTGTTCAATACTTTCTGAGGAGTCAAATAAAACATTATCAAATACCAATATCATCAACTATAAGGAAATTCTATTGTTTTGTGGGAGAACAACCTAGTTGGCAACGAACTGAATTTGAAGACCACGTGAGTTATACTATTGATTCATTTGATATGAATCACGGGTTAATAACATACATGTATGTGAATGTGTTGCTTATCGAAAGAGGATACTACACAGCATAACCTTGACCATTACATTAAAATACTCTACGTTGGCATTTTGCATTTTCACTTCAAGTGCAAGAGAGGTACATACAAATGTACACCGCTTGATGCGCCTGTACAATATTTGCAATGTGCAATATTACTTACTCCTTCCACAGTCGCCGCCTGTGATATCTGAACATGAAATCGTGTTGCATCCATCTTTACATGTCTGATCAACACTACCGTCTGTAAAGCCGCACCGAGGACAATCCAGCTCACAGAACTGCCCATAGTAACCATCTCTACAGGCAGTGCAGCCTCCAGTAGATCGGGCACATGTCAGGTACCGGGGGTAGCACTTGTCACTGCAGTTCTGTCCATACCGCCCGTCAAGACACGTCGTTTTAGAGCATGTCTTGTCTGTGTCACACCGGAATCCCTTGCACAACTCTTCACATGTGAGAGTACAGTTTGCACCATGAAAGGTATCCTTACAGCTAGTACAACGGCCGTTGACACGTTCACACAGCTGACAATTCCGCAGACAGGGGATTTTGCATGAGGTGCCTCTATATCCATCCACACATTCGTCAATACAATAAGTACGACCAACTTCGTCAAGCGTGCATCGCTTGTTTTTGCAAGTCATTGGACACTTATGCTGGCAACTGCTACCATAGAAACCGCCTGGGCATTGTCGATTCTGTATACCAACAACCACTGACCCTGAAAGCAAAAACGTTATCGTGAAACAATTTAACAACTTAAACATACACGTCAACGCTACATGTAGATTATATCAGTACACGTCACCACAGAACGTGCGTTCATAAACAGTTAAGACTCTGATGCATGCTATCACGGGTATATACTTCTTTTAAAAATGCTAAGCAATAACATATGTGCATGTAACAAAACATAACATTACACCATTTTTAAACTAATTCGCATTGTGGAATGTGGTGTTGTTTTTAGCTGAGTATTTATATTTAAGAATTTTGTTAATTGTTTTGCGGATCTCAAGCTTCTTTGAAAGCATTTCTTTTTAACCGTGCATAGGTGATACATTTTTATTATATATGTACAATGAACAAGGCATATCTTCATAAATAAAGTCAAAGTATTTGTTGTATTGCATGATTCAAAGAACTATTAACATACTCTACATGAACAATTATTTTCAATTTCCGATTAGTCTGTGTTTAGATGCGTAAAAGGAACAAAGGCTAATTTGTAGCTAACATGTATTTTGATTTTTGACTTTGTTAACATATCACGTTTCAAAAACTAAAAATGACAATGTAATAAATAACTTCACGACAATTTTCTCTATTGTTTAATGTCGGTCTCTGCCCCGGTTCTTATCAAGATTGTTTACTGCAGATCAACGTGTGACTTCATCACATTGTAATGATTTTCACCATACACAACCCTGATTTTAAGTTTCCTAGACATGTTTTCAACATCTCCGTTTCTGAGGTACAGGTACAGTGCTGGACAGGGCTATACATATTCATGGATAGTAACGAATACTTGACCGTGTATCTGCAGTTCCAGAGCGTCATTAACATAAGTCTTTACTTGTTTACCAATCAAACTTCACACATTATGTTTAAACCATACCCTGTAGATGGGTAGACGGGGCCCTTTCGTCGTGTCACATATGAACCCACAATTAATTACTATGCTCATATTGTTACCGATACTTACATAAAACGACGTAACGAAATAATCGACATCCATCCATACTTGCAGAAATGCTGAAAATAAACACTATCATCAGATACAAATAATAGCAAAGAATATATATACATTTTCAAAAAGAAATCAAAATTTAACTTCATGGATTAATAGTTTTCCATGTCGCACTGCAACATGAAAATATAGTCTGCATGACCTTTTTTAACTGATAAAGTGTCACAACTGTTGAAAGAGTTAATAGAGAGGAACTTTGACATATTCATTATTTATTTTATGGGAACCATAAAGGCAGTTTTCCCATGCAGCTCATGGGATTTGTCACGTGTTAGCAAAATCGCTTCAAAAATCATGAGAAATCTCAGCTAAAGGCTAATTATATATAAGCATGTGTTTATGAATCACTATGAAATTCAGTTGAATTTTGTCTCTTATTGAAGACTATTTAAAAGTTACGATCACTTAAGGAACGGAACCCTGACCACCTTGGCAGGTCGCTCACTGCAACCTACAGTCTAAAACATATTCATGGTTTATGAGCTCCCGGAATCCGAGCATGGGAGACCGACGTTAACTGTATTTTACCTCAAAGCGGCTGTTGTCGTCTCGGTCACATTATCAGTTATTTTTTTTATTTTTAGCTTCAAGAACGTTGGCGTAACATAATTGGTTTAGTGATAATCACGTTTACTTCTTCAAACGTGAAATGGGCGGATCCGCGTGTACATTGGCGTCGGAATAAGTGTGAAGTCGGATGTTGCGTTCATGAAGTCGACAGATTCGGTGGAAGAAGTATCATGACGTGGGAAGCTCTCTCTTATGGGCGCAGAACAGCTCTTGCTTATTTCCAGGGCAACGTAACAGGTTGGGACATTACTTTGTCCCGACTCTGCAAACATCAGGGGTCGGGGGTACTTGTTGTTACCATGATCGGCATAGAGGGGATAAAACAAGGATTGGTCGATTTGGAGTAAGTATACTGAGTGGGGTATCCATGTTAAACTGCGGCATGGTATCTCAGTGATCTTGCACTATGAAACCAGCATTAGTCCCGACTAGTACAAACAGCCACTAACACAGTCCATGCACGTCGCTTTATACATATATAGTAAACGACATTTCTCCGGATCAATTTCAAGCACAATACACTCACATTCACGTACGTACGCACGCATGTATGCACGCACGCAAGCACGCTCGCACGCACTCACGTCGCCATATAAGTGCTATAATCTTAAAGGCGATGTAAACCCCATTTCATCTCACCACATCTGAGTGCTCCGAACATTAACGTACTAACATGGCCGTCAATGTCACGGGATTTCAACCATCTGGACAGACGTTTACTTGGCCTGGTGAATAGAGCGTCTGCCCGGAGTGCGGTGGTTCGATCTCTGGTCGCGTCATCCTTGGCGCTCGGCACTAATGCGAAAATCAAGATCTGGTTGGCTCGGAGTATACTTTTTCTGAATGGGATATCCACGCGACACACACACACACACACACACACACACACACACACACACACACACACACACACACACACACACTGTGAAAAATCTGTTTCAAACTCGTTCCAACTAAGGTGAGTAGAGCTTCATTTCTCGTTGGCTATGTGGTAACATTCGACTTAGCAGATGGTTCATCTGCTATCATTTCCGTTACGTTACATCATCTGTATCGCTTTCAGTATACATTTGATGTTTGTAATTCAGCGCGTTATCAATACACTTCATCATTTACCATCCGTTAAATTACAGAGCACAGAGGATTCACGACGAGATTGCATCAGTTGAGTCAAGTGTGGAATTTCTAACGACTGTCAACTTTGTCCGAGGGGCGCTTCTCCCAATTTACAAGACGGAGTTCAAGGTCGTAGGTAGACGCGGCGATGAATGCTCTTGGGGCATAATACTATTAGTGAATCTCTGAACCTTTATAATTCCTTCATGCATACTACATTTCGTATTTGTTAGCGAGGTATGCAATAAATCACAGGCGATACCCAAAAATTAAAATATGTCAACAATTACAGTTTGATATGCATGCCGACATGCGTAATATGTCTATGTATCGCTGGTGTTTTGAGAATTAGTTAAGTGTCTATAGTGAGTAGGGTAGACGTTGGAGCGTACAGTTGCATAGTGCTTCTAACACCCCCTTTCGAATAACCAGCTGATGCCCAAAACAGTCCCGTCCGCATGTTTAGTATAGCTGTAAATTAAACGGGTGATCTTTCCACGGGGGAGTAGTAAAACTAGACAATGACAATGGTTTATCTACATCCAAAAAAAAGCATGAAACTTGCATATTTGTGTATACGGAGAGGTTTAGGTATGATGACAACGTATATGAAATTAGATGTTTATAATGTGTGTAATTTTTTAGTGAACCATGATTTCAATTATGAATAATGACACTCACATCAATATTTTTGCTGAAAGCATCGATAGCTGTGTCCAGTATCCAGTCTGTTCATCTCAAACTGTAAGAAATAAAAATAGACGTTCAGCGTTTAGATTTATGGACTGACGTCTGTTCAAATATTTAGTTTTACGAACTCTGGCTCAAGTCGCGAGCTTGAATTTAAAATTGTGCAACACAAGTTATTATTTGTAACTAACCTTTCTGTATATATCTTTCATCAAGTGAATTAATATCAGTCAATCAAATAAAAACAGATAAGCCATATGGCTATTGAGGATCGTACCGCCGTCAATATCTGGCAAAATCAATTAAGTGAAAGATCCATTTACAGGATAAAACACTCAGTTGTGATGTTACATACCGATTCCTCTACAGGACCCCTTTCAGCCCTCTTATTTTTCCGTATTTTGTGCCTGCGCCTGTGAATATTATTTAATTGATATTCATATAACATATGGCATTCCAGCTAAATGTTTTTCGTGACGAATTATAAACAATAAAACACTGCTTACTATAAAGAATTGTTAGACCATTAACTTGCGCAGACCAGATTACATTGCACCAAGACTTGATCATATTGTTGTAATTGGACCATTGCACCCTTTACATATACTGACAAATATATGCCAGTGACAAACAGTTTTCGCTAACGTTTGCAAAGTTTAAAATTATTGCCAATATCCAGGTTTGAATGCGTTTACTTACCATATGGCATATACAAACAATCCTGAGAGTGCACATACAATCACAGTCACTATGATGGTTAAGGAAACACTGTAACCGAGGCAGCTAGAGAAATCTGAAACTCAGAACAAACGGAACCATTAATCCACAGGATAACCTCGGTCGACATTGATAAATACACGCAGCTGTATTATGTTGCTGGGAAGGTTCGAACGTTTAGCTACTTGGAAATCTCCTTGCAACTCTTACCGCAGTGAGTTTGCGTGATATCTGTATCAGACTTGTTTGTTGGTGGTGATGTCACTATACACGATGTTCCATTCTTGCACCCAATGGAACACTCGCCATCTACTTGGTTGCAGGTATTGTTGATACAGTTGGAGTTGCACTCTCTGCGACAGTAGCTACCATGATATCCTACGTTACAACCTTCCAGACACTCTCCTGTATTGACCTGGCAGTGGACTATGTCGTGTAAAGGACGACAGTTAGATGGACAGTTCCAGTCACATGCAGGTCCCTACTTGTTACTACCACAGTGTCCACCTCCAACTTCACTGGTCACTGATACTGTGAAGGAGAAACGGATGTCAGCAGAAAACAGCAACAGTAAGAGAGTCGGGTGATCCTTAGTGAAATAAAGACTCAAGGTAAATACAGCAATACAGATACTAACTAATTCGTTTACGTTTTAGAACTCAATTTTTAGAAGATCACATCGGCGTGCAATGTAAAGTACTTCATTTACGCGACCCAAATCCAACATACTTGATATTAAGTTGGTAATCTAGGTTAGTTGGTATATTTACACTTTCGAAATAAGGATGGCAAATGTGATGATGTTTTGTAGGTTCTGTTCAAACCTTACCGAACTGGAAGATGGAATAGAGCCCAACCGTCCAAGTTAAGATGTTCATTCCACATCGATAGTGAATTCATCTCCAAATACTCAACTGAAACATGTGAAATGTCATTACAACGAAACATACGACATCGTACCACACATTTCAACGACGATGTTAAAAATAAGTTTGTATGTTGTTTAACGCCACACTCAGCAATATTCCAGCTACATGACGGCGGTCTGTAAATAATCGAGTCTGGGCCAAACAATCCAGTGATTGTTAACAGGCGCATCCATCCACGCATTTGGGGTCGATGACATGCATCAACCAAGTCAAGCCTGACCACTCGATCCCGTTAGTCGCCTCTTACGACAAGCAAAGTTGCCTTTTACGGCAAGCATGGGTTGCTGAAGACCTATTCTACCCCGGATCTTCACGGAAATCTACCGCACCACGCAATTGGGATCGATGACATGCATCAACCAAGTCAGCGAGCCTGACCACCCGATCCCGTTAGTCCCCTCGCGACAAGCATAGTTGCCTTTTACGGCAAGCATGGGTTGCTGAAGACCTATTCTTCCCCGGATCTCCACGGGTCTAATCATGTTAGGATTAGAAGCAAAAACATGGACATTATTTTATACAGTAATAAAAGTCTCCGCACGGGCTGAGGTGAAATCGAGTTTAATGGCGCATTCAAGATTATTGCATTCACATAGCGACGTGTGTGTGTGTGTGCATGTGCGCGTGCGTGCGTGCGTGCGTGCGTGTGTTTGGCTGCTTGTACTAGTCCCGACTAATGCCGATTTCATACTCCTAGCACACTGAGATACCATGCTGCAGGTTAACATGAATACCCCACTCAAACACATTATACGGACTCCGAGCCGACCAGTCCTTGTTTTAGCCCCTTTGTGCCTCGCGACAGGCAGGGTAACAACAAGTATTATTTTTAACGTCTTTTGGTATGACGCGGCCGGGGATTTAACCCCAAACCTTCCAGCGGTCGTCCCCGCACGGAGAACTGCAGAGACAGTTAGAAAGGTTGATAAGATTGACGAGAGTGATGATTATATATTTTTGATAAGTTCATTTGTAAGCT